ATGTATTAAATAGACAAGAAAAACAAAATCCAAGTCATCTTTCCACTATCAGCTTACAAAGTAATTCTATCTGTCTGTGCTTCTCTTTTCTTTGTTGTGTGGGGATGACTGGGGGACCCATCAGAATTCTAGAGCAGTACTGTCCAAGAGAAATGTAACATGAGCCACATATGTGATTGAAAATCTTTTAGCAACCACGTTAAAAAAGTAAAAAGTAACAGGTGAAAGTAATACATTATAATTTTTAATTTAATGCCCAAATATTGTCATTTTAATATACAAGTGATTAATGAGCTATTCCAGTCTTTTTTTTTGTATGGAGTCTTGAAAATTATACTTACAGCACACCTCAGTTCAGACTAGTCACATTTCAAATGTTCAGTTGCTGCATGTGGCTTGCACCTGCCTTACTGGACAGCACAGCTCCAGATAGTTCTTCCCCTCAAGGAAATGTTAGGGCAGGCTGACTGCTGCGAGGCAGGCTGGATGTCAGGACAGCCATGTGGGTTTGCTACTTACATCATTACAAGGGTGTCCCCTGTCCTGGGTGGAGCGGGGAAGCAGAGTGCCTGGCAGGGCTCACAGACTGCATTCATCCTGCACCTCTGATGTTTATTTATCCTCCTGGTCCCAGGGAGGGCCCAGTCCCAACCAGAATCATGAGCCACCCCTGAGAGAGCTGGGGCAAGGGAAGTGGGGAGATCTTCCTTTCCCTTTTCCCTGTGGGTTTGGAGAGGGCAACTTTTTGAGTGGGAGGAGCAAAGCCTAAAATCCTCAGTTTAAACTAGATTGGGCAAATAGACTGGGCAAATCTTTGTTCTCTTTCTGGGTCTTACCAAATAACTTGGAGTTAAAGCCTCCTTGCAGGGCTGTTGAACTCTGTACCCAAAGCAGAGGTTGTTGGAACAGCTCACATGGGCGGTAATGAAGGCAAGGAGGAAGAGTTGGCAGTGGGCACAGAGTGCAAGGTGTGGATGCCAATGGGTCCATTAGCTGGCCATTAAATGGTGGGAGAATGTAGAGAGAGACCCTGGCCCAGGCCCCCCAGTTCTGCCACATCCCCACCTCAGACTATTCTCAGCATGGTAGCTGGAGTGATCCTGGTATGAAGTAGGGCAGGTAATGCCGCCGCTCTCCTTGAGGCCCTCCAGTGACCCGTCTGACCCGGAGAAGCAGCCGAAGTCCTCCCAGGATATCAGAGGCCTCTCTGAGCTCAGCCCCTGGGGCCTCCCTCGATGCTCTTGCCTGGAGCCTTGTCACTGGATGTTCTCTCTGCCTGGGATGCTTCCATCCCTCGCAGCCCTCTCCCCCACCTTCCTTCAGCAATGTGCTCACACGTCCCCTTCTCAGAGCAACCTTCCCCAAAACTCCCTACCTACCCCCTGACCCTTATTTTATTTCCTGTATTCTCATGTGTTTCTCTTTAGCACTTGTCACTGTTAAATATAAATATGTTATCTATTTTTCTTATCTATCTGGAATATTGTCTCTCTAAGATGTAAGATTTGTGAAGAAAGAGATGTATGCCTGCTTGTTCCCCATGTATACCCAGCTCCTAGGACAGGTCTGGCATATAATAAGTCTCATTGAATGCTTTGTTGAATGAATGAATAGTGGAAAGAAAACTGGTTTGGAACTAGATGGGTCTTGCAGTTTCCAGTCCCTGCTCTAGCTGTGTAATCTTAGAAAAATGGCTTAAATGCTATGTGTTTCAGTTTCTTCATTTATAAAATGGGAACAACAGTACTTAGTCTATATAGTAGCATATGAGAGGATTAAAGAATAAAATTCATTCATAATTTATTAATTAATTCCGGTATACATTTACTGTTTTTCCTCTCGGTCAGGCATTGTGCCAGGTGCTAGAGACATAGTGGTCAGCAGAGGAGGCACCTGTCCCTGCTATCCTGAAGGGCAGTCTGGAGATTAACCGGTGTAAAGCACAGGTGCCACACCAGGTCCTGGTGGCTCCAGGCACTGTCCCCTACGCCGCGCTCCGTGAGTGACAGCTCCCCCAGAGAGACATCTTTTGGAGGATCTGCTCTGTTCACAATGACCATCTTCACCGCAGAGATGAACCCTAGCAACCGAGATTATCTTTTGCAGACCTCTGCTCTGGGTATAGTTGATTGGCTAGAGGTAAGCTCCAGACTTAAGCTAGGCCAAAAATATTCTTTTTGGCAATTTAAAATTGGACAAGTGATTCCATTTCAGCCTTAGGGCATCTCCCGAGGAGATGGAATTTACCCTCGGCCAGCTGAACTGGCCCTGGGAAGCTGGTCTGCAGAGAGCATCAAGGAAAGAGAGGGAGAGGGGGTTCCAGCAGTGCCCCAGGCCCTGGTTCAAATCCTTCTTAAGGCCCAGTTATATCTCTACCCTGTGATTCCGTGAGACACCCCCAGAGCCAGATAATAAGCTCCCCCTTTTGGCTTACACTGGCTAGAGTGGTTTCTGTTACTTGTAGCCAAAGAAGGGCGCTCATAGCTCCCCTAAGAACTAAATCTTATCATCCCAATTTAATACACTTACTAGAGCCAGTGCCCACAATAGGTGCTTAGTAAGCACTAGTCTATACCTGCTGCCTCTGCCAAGTTGCACCTGTGGCACACATGAGATGAGCCGTAAATACAAATCCTTGTACGTGACCAGTCATTGTAGGTGACAAGGAATGCTAGCCTTTCCTGTTGCCTGGCACACAGCAGAATTACTCCCTTACAAATCTGCTCTCCAGCCCAGCCCACCTCAGGGCAGTCTGACTGCATTTCACATATGCTCAAAGCATGAGCAGGCACCTTCCAACCTCTGATAGTCTAGGGGAGCTCAGGGAGGATGAATCCCACCCCTGGTCCTGACATGCCTTCTCTCTCACCTCTCACTCCAAATCCAGAGTGATGATTGCAAAGGGGGTTCTATCTGGATGTGCAGTTATTCCCAGTTTCACTAGGGCCTGTCAGGTGCTTCCCAGGACCAGCTGCTTGGCAAGGGCTGGTCATGCATTATGTAAGAAGCAGTGGGGCAGTTTTGGTGCTGATTACAGAACCTCCTGTGGGGCAGGGTCTCTGGTGCTGAGAGAACAGGATGGCAGAGGAGGGCAGCTAGCCCAGGTCACAGCTGATGCTAAAGACCCTGGAAGGGCAGGGGAGCCAAGAAATGTCTGGGCACAGACAGAGGGCAGCTCCCACTGGCACCAGCTGTCACAGCAGAGCTGGATGAGACCCCAGAGCTCAGCAATGGGCAGCAACTAGAAGACAAGAGCAGAGTCGGTATGCTGGTGCCGGCTACTGGGAGACCAGTGGGGTCCCAAGGCTGGGGGGTGATTGCCAGGCCCAGTCCATCAGTGAGGGGTCAACTGGCTGAAGGGACCCTGTGAAGGAGGATGTGGCATCAGTGGGGTGAGAACCCCTCTGTGGAGTCAGGATAGGCAAAATGAGGGAGGTCCCGGATGCATCAACCACCCACAGGTTGATGTAGGAACACAGAAGACAGAGTATGGAGAGGTCAACCAAGAGCCAGACAGTTGCCTTTCTTGTTGTAATGCCTGTGCCTGCTGTTAGCTTCAATTGTGGAGGCATCCACTTCAGAGAACACAGTGCCAGCCACATGACCATATGTGGCCACACAGAGCCAGGCCACCTCCCCGCGCTGAGGCTCCCTGTTTTAGAGATCTCAGTTGATTTCAATAATCAACCACCTGGGTCACTTTTCCTCTAATTCCTGGGCTTTAAATCCCTGCTCTTATGTTTTTTTTTAATTGGACTAAAATTGATATACAATATTATATTGATTTCAGATGTACAACATAGTGACTCGATAACTATGTACATTACTAGATGCTTGCCACACTAGTTGTAGTTATCCTGTTATCATACTAAGATACTACAATACTATTGATTATATTCTCTATGTTGTACTTCCATTCCTATGTCTGATTTTATAACTTCCAGTTTGCAATATAATGAGTCATAAGAAACACATATTTGGTCATTCATATGACCAGATATATACTTCCCAGGTGTATTTGGTCTTTATCCACAGTTCCTGAAAACACCACCGCAGTCTTAAAGGTGAAACGGGTGTTTTGTCATGTTAATGAGAGACTTTTGGACCCCTGCCCCAAGGGCAGGGGCTGGAAGTGAATCAGCCAGTGGCCAATAACTTAGTCAGTCATGACTGTGTGATGAAGCCCAACCAAAAACCCTGAGAAGAGCTTATCACCCTCTGCTCTTCTTGGTTGGATCCTGCTTCTCAGTCAGGGAGAGTTTTTAGACTTGGGGAACCAGAACAACTCCACGTGCCACTGAGCCAGGCCCCAAGCTCCATGAGGACAGAAGCTCCTTTATTGGGGACCTTGCCCCATGTCTCTCTTCATCTGGCGGTTAACTTGTACCCTTTATGACACCCTTTATTAAACTGGTAAATGAAAGTGTTTTCCTGAGTTCTGTGAGCCGCTCTAGCAAATTAATCGAACCTAAGGGGGAGGTCGTGGGAACCTCCACTCTGTAGCTGGTAGATCAGAAGCACAGGTAACAGCCTGGGGTTTGTGACCAGCATGTGAAGTGGGGGTGGAGGGCAGTCTTGCAGGATGGAGCCGTTTACCTGGGAATCTGGTGCTGTGTCTGGGCAGATAGCACCAGAATTGAGTTCTCTGATACCCTGCTGGTGTTTAAGAATCGCTTGGTGTTAGTATGTGTGGGGAGACCCCCTCCCAGATCTTTAAACACAGTGGAATTGGGTC